AAATTATTTCCTGTCTGCCTAAAAGGTGTTGGAAACCCTGATTTCGGCCTCCAAAAGGAGTCCCCACCTTTGTATAGAAAAGTGTTGTTTTTCTCTTGAGCAAGGCCAGCATTGCCCACAACATTCCACACAGACATTGTGGAGGACGTGTGAAAATAACTCGCTTTTTGTCTTAGACTGAGGGACCATCTTGACTCCCACTTGAGTGCAACAATAGACCCAGTGAGGATGGCTGGGATCTGCCATTTTCTAATCCACCCTGTTTAATTAAAAGACTCCCCATTCAACAGGACCACCAAGTTCTGAAGCGCTTAGCACGTAGAAATTGTCTGTCCTCGGTTGCAACACTCACTACCAAGTTCCAAATTGCCTCTGGAAGCAACATCAGTACAAGAACTGTTCGTCGGGAGCTTCATGAAATGGGTTTCCATGGCCGAGCAGCCGCACACAAGCCTAAGATCACCATACGCAATTCTAAGCGTCGGCTGGAGTGGTGTAAAGCTTGCCGCCATTGGATTCCGGAGCAGTGAAAACGTGTTCTCTGGAGTGATGAATCACGCGTCACCATCTGGCAGTCCGACTGACAAATCTGGGTTTGGCGGATGCCAGGAGAATGCTACCTGCCCCAATGAACAGTGCCAACTGTAAAGTTTGGTGGAGGACGAATAATGGTCTGGTGCTGTTTTTCATGGTTCGAGCTAGGCCCCTTATTTCCAGTGAAGGGAAATCTTAACACTACAGCATGCAATGATATTCTAGATGATTATGTGCTTCCAACTTTGTGGCAACAGTTTGGGGAAGGCCCTTTCGACTTTCAGCATGACAATGGCCCTGTGCACAAAGCGAGATCCATCCAGAAATGGTTTGTCGAGATTGGCCTGCATAGAGCCCTGACCTCAACCCCATCGAACACCTTTGTGATGAATTGGAACGCCGACTGCGAGCCAGGCCTAATCGCCCATCAGTGCCCAACCTCCCTAATGCTCTTGTGGCTGAATGGAAGCAAGTCCCCGCAGCAATGCTGCAACATCTAGTGGAAAGCCTTCCCAGAAGAGGAGAGGCTGTTATAGCAGCAAAGGGGGGACCAACTCCATATTAATGCCCATGATTTTGGAATGAGATGTTTGATGAGCAGGTGTCCACATACTTTTGGTAATGTGGTGTATACAGTGCCTTGCAAAAGTATTCATCCCACTGGTGTTTTTCCTATTTTGTTGCATTACAACCTGTAATTTAAATTGATTTTTAATGGACATACACAAAATAGTCCAAATTGGTGAAGTATAATGAAAAAAATAACTTGTTTCAAAAAAGTCAAAAAAATTAATAACAGAAAAGTGGTGTGTGCATATGTACTCACCCCCTTTTCTATGAAGCCCCTAAATAAGATGTGGTGCAACCAATTACCTTCAGAAGTCACATAATTAGTTAAATAAAGTCCACCTGTGTGCAATCTAAGTGTCACATGATCTGTCACATGATCTCAGTATTTATACACCTGTTCTGAAAGGCCCCAGAGTCTGCAAGACCACTAAGCAAGGGGCACCACCAAGCAAGCGGCACCATGAAGACCAAGGAGCTCTCCAAACATTAAATCCATTTGGGTGAATAGTTATGCACGCTCAAGCTTTCTGTTTTTTTGTCTTATTTCTTGTTTGTTTCATCTTCAAAGTGGTAGGCATGATGTGTAAATCAAATGATGCAAACCCCCCAAAAATCAATTTTAATTCCAGGTTGTAAGGCAACAAAATAGGAAAAATGCCAAGGGGGGTGAATACTTTCACAAGCCACTGTATTTCTATGTCTGCCTGTGTTTGTGTGTGTATCTGTCTGTCTGTCTGTCTGTCTCTGTCTGTCTGTCTGTCTGTCTGTCTGTCTGTCTGTCTGTCTGTCTGTCTGTCTGTCTGTCTGTCTGTCTGTCTGTCTGTCTGTCTGTCTGTCTCTACATTTACATTTTAGTCATTTAGCAGACGCTCTTATCCAGAGCAACTTACAGTTAGTGAGTGCATACATTTTCATACTGGCCCTACCTACTGCTCTATGAAGTTAATAATCAATTAAATAGTATTACTGTAGTAATTGATTAGTTTGATTTGGAATATTGAGCTTGCTTAATCCTCTTTATCATTTTAATCCTGCCTCTTAAACGATTCCCTATTCAAACCCTCTCACTGGCTGTCAAGCTGGTTCTCTGACTTTCCCTTTCCTCAACCCCTTCAACACAGACCTCCCTGTCTCTCTGTCTCTGTCTGTATGTGTGTGTGTGTGTGTGTCTCTGCTGTGTCTCTGTCTCTGTCTCTCGCTCTCTCTCTCTCTCCCTCCCCTAGATAAACATTGCTTTTCCCCAATGAAAGACAAGCACGCTGTTGGCATGTTATCTCCCTCGTCTAGGGTTGTCTTGTCAAGTATCTTGGCACTTGCATTTTCCCTACACAAGCAAAGGACTTTCTTTTTTCTCTACACACGTAAATGACTTGCATTTTCCCTACACAAGAAAGGGACTTTGCATTTTCTCTACACGAGAAAGGGACTTGCATTTCTCCTACACAAGAAAGGGACTTGCATTTTTCCTACGCAAGCAAAGGACTTGCATTTTCCCCACACAAGCAAATGACTTGCATTTTTCCTACACAAGCAAATGACTTGCATTTTCTCTACACAAGCAAAGGACTTGCATTTTCCCTACACAAGCAAAGGAGCATCTACATATTCTCAGGGAAACACTTTCTTTGGGACTACATAACATATTCATACAGCATACATAACATATGTCTACACTACATAATGCTACATTATGTCAATTGCAAGTTTGTATGTCAATGCATACCGTATTTCAATCCGTAGATTAGCGTTTGTGAACATTTGTGCAGTGCTTATTTAAGCAATAAGACACGAGGGGGTGTGGTATATGACCAATATACCACGGCAAAGGGCTGTTCTCCCAAGGTGCCTTACATTTACATTTACATTTACGTCATTTAGCAGACGCTCTTATCCAGAGCGACTTACAAATTGGTGCATTCACCCTATAGCCAGTGGGTTAACCACTTTACATATATTTTTTAGTTTTTTTAGTTTAAAAAAATTTTTTAAGGGGGGGGGGGGGGGCGGGGGGGGTAGTAGGATTACTTTATCCTATCCCAGGTATTCCTTAAAGAGGTGGGGTTTCAAATGTCTCCGGAAGGTGGTGAGTGACTCCGCTGTCCTGGCGTCGTGAGGGAGCTTGTTCCACCATTGGGGTGCCAGAGCAGCGAACAGTTTTGACTGGGCTGAGCGGGAACTATGCTTCCGCAGAGGAAGGGGAGCCAGTAGGCCAGAGGTGGATGAACGCAATGCCCTCGTTTGGGTGTAGGGACTGATCAGAGCCTGAAGGTACAGAGGTGCCGTTCCCCTCACAGCTCCATAGGCAAGCACCATGGTCTTGTAACAGATGCGAGCTTCAACTGGAAGCCAGTGGAGTGTGCGGAGGAGCGGGGTGACGTGAGAGAACTTGGGAAGGTTGAACACCAGACGGGCTGCGGCATTCTGGATGAGTTGTAGGGGTTTAATGGCACAGGCAGGGAGCCCAGCCAACAGCGAGTTGCAGTAATCCAGACGGGAGATGACAAGTGCCTGGATTAGGACCTGTGCCGCTTCCTGTGTAAGGCAGGGTCGTACTCTCCGAATGACCTTATTGCTATTATAAACTGGTTACCAACATAATTACCAACATAATTAGAACAGTAAAAATAAATGTTTTGTCATACCCGGGGTATACCACGGCTTTCAGCCAATCAACATTCAGGGCTCGAACCACCCGGTTTATTTTAGAGTGTTATAAATCACTAATACATGTCTTATATAGTCCTAATTCAGTGGCTTTAAATTAAACGTTTTTGGACCATTGCCCATATTCCATTTAGATAAAGGTATTTGGTTTTCCTAAATATTTTACGTATTTTGATCCTTAAACATCAAAGTCAGTTAGACCTTTTCAGGCCTCAAAGTGGTTTAATGTCAAGAAGAGTCCATGTCCCACGTCATGTACTGGGTATATACAGCTATATGTCTCAATATTCACAACAGGTGGTGGTGTGGGACATGGACTCATCTCTACATTACACTGCTGTTGAGGTATGAAAACATTGCACATTTTGATGATACCTTTATTGAATCAATACAGTATGGCCCTATGTTTTGTGAATATTCCCATACGGGATGAGAAAAGGAGAAAATCACTAGCATTATTTAGCTATTCATCAGTACCCACATTGAGATGGGTATTAGCAACAATGCATTTCCAAAAACATGTAGCACCTGATGTTATCGCCTGCTGGTTAGCATAATTAGCTGCTAGCAGAGAAGCTTAACAGGTAGAGCTACAGTACCAGTAGAGATAGTCTTTTCCAGTCATGGTTTCTCACCTGTATGCTCGGGGTGCCAGGGAGGCATGATCCTCTCCATAGGTATGGGTCAGTGCCAGAATAGGCCTATCGAGGTATGTGTGGGCTATAATAATGAATCAACCACTTTCAATATGTGTCCTCTCACTGGAAAATTTGGCTTATACAAGTAGGCCTACCGTACCTGTAAGCCATATGCTCAAGCAATGAAAACAGGAAAATAGATTAGTGTCTAGGTCAGGGGTGCATTTCTGGTCTTCGAAGGCTGCTGATCATCCTGCTAGTTCTGGGCTTTTAACCAGTGACTGATTTCTACCTGGAACAAGTTGTGTGCACTCTCCAGCTGCCCAATAATTGATCAATAAATACCAGAGAGAAACGAAAACCAGCAATACTGCGGAACTTACAGACTTGAGTTGTGCACCCCTGGAGCATGTCATCCATTATCATGGACAGTAACATGGTTTACCATTGCATCAGGACCATCTGTTTTCCATTTTAATGGACTACAACAATTAATTAATTAAAACAAATGTTAATATTAAAATAGAAAAGAGATGGCCCTGAGCTCATTCAGTACTATTATTTTATTATAACTACAACTATGCGTTCTTTCAG